AATGATTAGCAGTAAGATGTTTATCACACTGTTGTTAAGACAAGAAAAATAATGGAATCATAAAAATTGGTCTAAAAATCTAGTGAAGTCCAAAGTTCTTTGCGAACACCCAAATTTTTTTTTGGTTACAATATAATTTAAGATTTCACTTAACATTTCCTGATAAAACTTGGTTAGATTCATTGAACCATCCACTTCCTCCAATTAAATACTGACCTAGTATCTATAGTGGCAATGTCTATAATAAAACTACAAATAAATATTTTAGTTATATAACTTCAAATAAATGGAGAGTACTGTAGTTTAATTTACATGGTAATGCTCAGTTATATGGTTTAGTGTTTGGGTAAAATTAAAGTTGAGATTATGATGAAATACTTTTAGTCCAACTGTAGACACTCTCCCTGGTCAGAACTTTTTCAATGTGATTTTTAAAATAGATTTAAATTAAAGGTTATTAGCGGTTACTGTCTTATAAGATGGTTTTTATTGGGAATTCAATGGTATCACCTACAATACATGAAAGTACTGTAAGTACTGGCAAATCATATTTAAATATGTGTGCCTGTATTCTTTAAGACGACACAGAGTTGCCATATTACGTATCAGAGCATTGAATTTATGAAATGAATGAGATTAGCGCATGGAATCCCATACAACTCATTCAGATTCAAATCATTCAATCAGACAACATCAATCAATAACACAACAAACATCGAACTTTTAACATTCTGCGTGAATTTCACTAAAAACAAGGTTACAACCTTATAATATGTCTGCTGTAATATTTGTGGGAAAATGTTCTATCTATGAATGTTGTTGAACAAACAACTGATGGTTGAAATGTCACAATCTGCAAAAATTTGAGTAGGCTGTGAAGATGATCATGTAATCAGAGTAATTATCTCGCTACACTTTGGCTAAGAAATGTTAGGCTGGGTGGCACCGGTCAAAGTACAGTTCTAAGTTCTGACTAACAGAACAACTGGCTCCAGGGTATAACAGAACCTAATTTCATAAAGGCTATGTTCTCACACGGCAGGTTAGTAGGATCCGGATCCTGCTAACCGTTAGCTGCCATGCGCCCATACGAGAAAATCCCGATCCGGATGCCAAAAATATGATGATCGAATCACTGACCAATAAGAAACTGGAAATTGTAAACGCGTACGTGTGATTAGTTGATTATAGAAATGTGCTCAACTTGCTAACCGATAGCGCTTGCTAACGGTTAGCGCTAACCGATCGGGCGTTCTCATGCAGGTGCTGATGATTAGCGCTAACGGTTAGCTCCTGATCCGGATACAAGGTCTCCCGTAAGAACCAGGGTTAAGAGAAACAACATTGCCTTGTCTTCAAATCAATCTATGGATAGCAAATTAATTACTCTTTTTAAGTTTATTAATGATCTGAACATAGATCGGGAAACTTCAGATAACTATTAAACAAATTGCATTAATGCTTAAAACGAGATGCACTGTAGGATGCAGTTGACCCTACCTGTATGTACATAAACTTGGAATAGAAAAGTTTATGCCAGGGTCTTTAACATGATGTCCACGGTTTATATTTGGACATTGAGTATTCAATTTATTCTAGCACTGCAAGCACAATAAAACCAATGGTAATTTTGTCTACTTTACTTAAGTTACAGTATTATGAAAACGTTTTCAGAGAGTGACAAACAACAAACAACATTTCTAGCATAGAAACATCATCAATCAATAAAGCTTTATGTATTTAAGCATGTGACAGCTTCCCTGGCACAGTTACTTGTTACAATATCAATTTCATGTCAAGACACTTGGCTTGATTCTAGCACATATATTAGCACATATATCCATTGTGAAGTGTTGTTTTATTGAACAATTTTTTGATTACAAAAATAACAAAACAAAAACGTTTCACTCTAAACATGTACTTTCCTCCTGGGAGAGCTCGAGCTCATCATTAGATGAGTGTGTTAACTTCTCTGATAAATCAAGTCTTTTCTGGCCTAGTTTTAAAACAATTCTACCAAAAATCTCTGCCACCTTACGATACAGTATATTGAATTATCTGAAAGTAAAATTAATAACCTTCATTCAAATGTCATTATTTTTTCTTAGAACGTCATAACTTAACGGTATATACATGTGCTGTACCACTGTATGCATTTTGATGCCAAAATTAATGGTCCTTTAGGGACTAAAGTGATTGTGTAAAAAGTTAACTGACAGGATATAATGTTCAGCAGACCTGCAAGAAACTAATTCTAATTAGTCTATCTTCCTCTACAGACCAAAATTAGCTTGTTATTTATCATCAATTATACCCAGTACAAATTATGGAGTTACAGCAATTTCAGTGATTTTCCTCTTCCACGCACAACTCTTACTTGTGCTAAAACAGGGTTCCTCAACTGGGGCCAAATAAAGTTTATGGTTGTTTTATGTGGGCAGAGTGGTAGCTACATGAATTTGCTAACAGGGAGTCAAAGAAAGTACCCAACCAAGACCCAACTAGTCCTACAATCAGGGTTGCAGAGTAACACCCCTGATGGGATCAAGGGGAAGGGATTTTAGGATATAAGATAGTAAAATATACTGTACGTTTATATCACAATATTCCTTACAGTAAAAACTGTACTTAATACCATAACACTGGATGCATGGGAGGGGTATGATGACACCCCTTGTTAGCACCCCAATTACTGTGGTGCCAATTATTGACCCACCTCACTTTTATTAAAAGGTGGATTTAATTTCACCTAGATTTATGATTACATTACAGGTGGCTAACTGCATTTATGTTCTTAAGTATTAAATTTCCAATGGTATATCACAGTGCATGTCTTGTCATAACATCATAACAGCAACATCTGTAAACATAATCGTGTCAATTCCATGTTTTATTACTATCAATGTCAAATGTACTTTCAAGGACTTGAATAGTTTTGTACCACAGATGCTATAGAACAGTGTACCCAATTAAAAGTACTTTATTGTTGTATATACTGTACTGTATGTTACAAAAACCTACCAAAACCATCATTAAAGGTATGGAGGGGTATCAAATACCAATATAATGACCTATATTTGTCATCCTACTAAACAAGCAAAGGCCACACACTATTAATGGTTGGATTTTATAGGCTCCCACTCAAGAAAAAAAAATGTAAAGTAATATGTCATGCTTCTACTATTTAACCTCCAACAAACAGCCATGATTTACAGCCATCACAGAAACTGATGGCATATTAGACAGTTGCAGATCCACTGTCCTGCTTTCTTGAATTTTTGTAATACATTACATAACCTTGGCAGGTTTTATAAAATACTTTAAATGCAACCAAAAAGAAAATTATTGCAACAAACACTACCAATTTTTTGTAAGTTACCTTTATCATTGAATATGTTTGATGGACAGATAAAAAAAATATCAAAGGCCAGATTGATGATCTTCTAATAGTAAAAGCCTCTCCATGCTAGGTATTGCTCATTTGACTAGTTATTTTGTCTGTACATGAAAAGGTTTCCCAGAATGGGGAAATCAGTCAGTACTTAGCCACCATTAATTCTAAAAGTGTTACTTTGATGAGGAGCATCGTGCAGTGGGATTATTAAAAGAATACATTGCCTTTAATTAACCCCAGATCAAAATCCTAAGTGTTACCTCTTTAGTTTAGGACAGGAAATAAAAATTACAACAAATTCGAAATGGAATACAATACAAAATGTAATACAATAAATTGTAACACAGCATAAACTGAACACATATTTCTCTGCATCTATTTTAAACCATGTAGGGGAGAGTCCCATCCAACCCACCTCTCCCTTCCTAACACTGTATACATGCAACACCCCTTAATAATCTGAGAAATTGGTGGATCCTCCCCCTAGCTGCCACGGGTTCAAATAAATGATGTTTTAATAAAGAAAAGACTTGCACCAAATCAACCCTCTAAACCTGCAGAGATTAAACAAGCCTTCCTTATTTATTATATTTTATTTATTCTTTCTTTATACTGAATATACACTTTCAATACATAGTACTGGTTTCCAGAGTGGTTAAATTATTATAAGATTTCTATCCTTAGTCCTACCCAGTTTGGGAAAAAGACTTCCCTAACAGACATACAGTAAATGAAAAAAGAAACTCAAGAAATTCGAAAGTTAAACTTGATTTGTTAGATACTGATCCAGTGCACTCAGATGCAATGAAAATGTACGTGTTATTACAGTCAATCAGATAATTAAAGGAAACATGATGTCTGGGAATATATGCTTTCTATCCAATGATGACTTCTACATGCAGCATCAACGACATACCTAGGTCTTCATCGAGTCTAGTTGAATTGTTATGATCCCACAATGCTTCCTAGGCCATAATTACTTGGAGTGCCCGGACGTTAGGCCCTGGCAGCCAGAATAAACTCAACTCCTTGTAGAAGTCGGTCATAGCACTCACGATCCTTATCAGCTAAGTAAATCCATATTTCCAATTTCACATACACAATCTGATCCAACACTATACAATATGCAAATTTACACTGAATAATTTGAGAATGGATATACAGTAGTTAAAAGTAGTACATAAAAACTTATCATCGTAAACATATTTTCAGTAGGGAAACTTTTTCAGAGCCATTTTAAACCTATCAGTAGAGGATTCTATCTGGCTTGGTTGAGGATCGAATACAATAAACATCAAGAAACAATTTGTAATGTAAAAATTTTATTTCAATTCATGATTTTTTAACCTACTGTAAATTTTTCAAGTGTATTGGTTGATTTTCAGTGCAGTTGTTCTGTTTACAGAGAAATTAAAAAATTAGGCAATAAATTAAATGAAATGACTTGCATACAGTATTTATAAAATCATTTTTGCCACTTTTATTGTCTTTTAACTTGCTCATTTAACTTGAACTTTCAACAATACTTACCTTTTCCCTAAAAATGAAGCTAAGTAACTCATAGAAAATGGTTTTTTTTATTTTTAATTTTTTTGTTTGTTTACAGATTGAAGTAATCACGGATCGAGTAATATTATTCCAAGAATTGTCCAAATGAGTACGGCGACACCTGTTGCTACTTTATACCTCAATGTTTGATGCAAAGGTGTGGAACAGAGCCAATGAAAACAGTACAAATCACCTACTGATGATTCAACCTTAGGAGGGAAGCAGCTATAGTCACTTGCGTACCTAGCACTAGTATCTGACCTTTGAACTCTTGAAATACAAAATGGCTCACTTTATTAGTTTCTCATTGATGGTAATTCTTCACATCATTGTGTTATTTACAATTAGTGAAACTCAAGCAGCCAAATCCGAAGATGCTAACAAATACATTCCAAGTAAGTCAAAATTATTAAAAGCCAAGAAGCAGAATACAGCAGAAGATACATGCAGTTCCTGCTGTGTACGTGGGGAACCAGGTGCCCCAGGACCACCAGGCAACCCTGGGATACCAGGCATGCCAGGAAACCATGGCGGTAACGGACACAATGGTATACAGGGATTGCAGGGAAGTAAAGGAGACAGGGGGAAAGATGGCAAGAACGGTGTAAATGGTAAACTAGGCGAGAGAGGCCCGAAGGGACCATCTGGACAAAGAGGGCAACCAGGGTTACAGGGAAGAGCTGGTCCCCGAGGACCACCTGGTGCCGGTATGACACAAAACAATAATGTGAAGGTAGCATTTTCAGCAGCACGTGTAGCTGCCCTTTCAGCAGATTCCGATATGGATGAGATCGTTACTTACGGGAAATTATTCATTAATGTCGGAGACTGCTTTGATCAGCACACTGGTATTTTCACGGCAAAGGTCCGCGGAGCATACGCTTTCACCTTCCACATTCACACAGCATCGCGTACCAGCTCACCGTATGTAAAGTTGATGAAGAACGGAGATCTACAGGTTGCTGTTCATGACTACGATTCTAGCGACGCGTACGATTCAACAAGCAACAGTGTAACTCTGGATTTGATGAAGTCTGACATGGTTTGGCTCCAGCTTGACCAGGGCAATGAACTCCATAGCAACAGCAATCGCTATACAACATTTATGGGACACCTCCTTTTCACCCTATAAAAACCCCAATGTAAAGCCTGCCCTATTACACTTTACATTTTATAACTGTTATATTTAAACTAGTATAAGTAATCATTATTCCTCTCATTTGCAAATCATTCATAATTTTTAATGAAAAATTAATCTAATAATGTCCAGAAACAATTAGTAATAGCCTTATTATACTTATTTATACTTATTGTATTTGTCTATGGACTGCTACACAGTACAAATATTGCCTAATGATAAGGTTAATGCTGATAATGTTGATGTTGATAATGATGACAATAATGATGACTACGATGATGATAATAATGACAATGATGATGATGATGATGATGATGATAATTATGATTATATTGATGAAAATAGTTACATGATTTGTTGATTTTTAGTTGGTAAAACTAAAGCATTAAAATCCTTACAAAATATATTAATTTCCCACAAATTTAAAAAGTTAAAGATTTAATTCTATCTTTGTTAATCATTATTACTACACCTTTGTACAGATTTGTGCAGTCCTATGTATAAATGAGAGTAGAGAAGAATTAATTTATAATTTACTTACCATTTTTAATGATTCATGTACAGTTTATTAGAGAATCAGAAGTGTAAATAAAAAAGGGTAGAGTGCTTAAGTGAAAATTTTACAGCTTAGTTTAAAAAAAAATAAAAATAATTCTCAAACATTTAATACAATAAAATAATAGTAAATTTCATTTTATGTATGTTAAAGGTCATGGAAGTTATTCAACAGGGAAGAAATTAAAGAAACTTAATGCTGGTTTGCAAAATTGGGCATTTACTTGAGTATATATTTGTAACAACTGGTATTAATAAGTTTTTTTTTGACATTGTAGAAGATCGCGTATAATCGTATGTGGTGGGTATTTTAGCATATATCGTAAATTCAGTGGGGGTTCCATACCGAGCAAATGAATTGATTGTTAATTAGTCAAATCTGCTTAATATTTCAATGCAGCACATATTTAAATTATTATGTAATAAAACATACATTTGAAATAGTTAAATGATTTCAAAAAATATTGAATAGGAAAAAAAACCCAAATAATTGTAACTTTTGGAATACCAGAGCCAGTATGGAGTAGTTTTGGGAAATGGTGGGTAGAGAAAAGTTGTCAAATGAAATATAATTAGTTGTTACAAAATCATTTATTATATGCACAATATTTGTTATTACCATTGTCATAGTGCCAAATTCTTGATATGAATGTTATATCACACAAAGTAATTAAAGAAAAGACTACTTGTTAAGTAGATCTGCTGTGCAGCATTGGGCGTACACATGGGCAGATTTGTATGAAGCAGTGTGAGGTGAGTAGTTGAGGGTTTGTAGCTAACAACTCGTCGCAAATCCTGTTTCGGAGATAATGGCAAACATATGCTGGAATGTCACAATTTTAGGAATCTATTTTATTGCACTAAACTAACCTTTATATATCTATATACATCATGCTGTTATTTTCCCCATTTTCAATGTTAAAACAACAATTTTTAATGATTTGGTGATGTTTTCTGCCAGAAATGCCAGAAATCGTAAACTTGGAAGGCTGATTTCTTAAATATTCTTCTTTAAAACAGCTGTATGTTTAAACTCCTGTAACTTCATAATGAAATGTCGGATTTCAATGATTCCTTTACCCTTTATAGCTCTCATTTTACTGTTTAAATGTAGTAACAACTAAAACAATTTTTGCAAAGAGTGACTGGCTTGGCTTGTCTGCCACATATGTAGGTTGTAGTTTGCTGCTCTCAATTAGAAGTGACTATTGAACAATTTATGATTTTAAGCAAGTAATTATGAGTCACATAATATCAAACTACTAAAATTACCATATTGAGATATGATGGGTTTAACAGCCTCAACATGACAAGAAATCCATTTAAAAAACTACGTCAGCTATGCAGGCCAAAGTTCATGATGCTGGTGAAGTTTTGAGTGCAGTGCTTAGTTTTTAATTTTTTATAAAATTATTTTTGCTGGGCTAGTACAGCTTTTTTTGTTAATGGGATTCACTATTAATAGGTTAGCACCTGCTAAATATTAATAACAACTACAAAAATAAAAATAACTTACAACAAAACAGACATAAATTGTGTTATGAACCTGCCATGTGTGGGGGTAATGATACCAGGTGGGGAAGAAAATGGATAATGCTCAAGGGATTTGAATGATTTTTAATTGCAATGATAATTTGAAATTTCCTTTTGGAAGCAAGTAATTGACAGGTGTTGTCATCATCATCATCATCATCATCATCATCATAATTCAATCTATTTCAAAAACAAACGTCATTACTACTTGGCTTAAACGTACTTCCTTCCTACAAAAGGAAAACAGTAAAAAATTGACTTTAAACCCTCACAATCGCCAATTCAACATCTCTACTGTACTTTTATGAAAAACATACACGTTGTAAAATTGATGTTCTTAATTAGTCTAGATTGATGTCTCTAAGAGTGTTCATTGCATTTATCTGTGTCGGCGCTTCTTAGCTAATGTTCAATTGCCGAGTATCTCTGACAGTACAGGTTAAAGGAACCAGCTAATGCAGTAATTGAATTATTATTATTATTATTATCTACAGATTTCAACTTGGCCTGAAATACAGAGCAAATTCAGTGAACAGTTGACATATTAGTTATATACTGTACACTTGTTTATGAAAGTTGGCAATTAAAAACTTCCTTCCTTACAATGACCAGACATGGACGAACAGATGACTACAGTGCTTCTGAATTACAAAAGTATGGAGATACTAGCAAATCTGGCTCCACAACTTAATGATGATGACTTATGATATTAAATATTTGAAGAAAACATCATGAATGAATGAATGGATATGGATAGATAGATAAGTAGAAGATGGATGAATGAATCAGTAAGGTGTCTCTACAAGACAAAACTAACTTTAATACAACTTCACAACCTGTTTATGTATTTGAACCCCTTTCAGGTGCGTCTTAGCAGCAACTTGCACAGTCAAAAGTCTAAAGAAGTTTGCTATTTGAACAAAAGTTTTTAAAGTGATATCCAATTGTTTACTGCTAATCTTAACAGACTTATTTACAGCATAAAACAAAATGTAATTTTTAATCAAAATACATGATAATTTTAAACAAAAAATTGACGCCACCCTACCTGAAGCCATGTGTCAATTTGGATTGACTTGATTCCCTTGACGAGGGCGTCGTAAACGTCTGTGCATTGGCCGTAATCAAACCAGAGAGTTAGAAGACGAAGTGTATCCTGAAGGGAGTTACTACTTGAAAGAGCGATGGAATGGAAGAACCCTTGCACAGCTGGAATTGCATATGTCTCAATGTAGTGGTTATTCTACAAAAAGAAAATGTTATTAAAAAAATCATTAGTCTGCGAGTCAAATGGCAGTAATTGACATTTAGGTAATGTACCATATCAAAAAAAAAATTGGTGAGAAGCAGCTAAATATGTGGATCACAAGGCATGTTGAATGGTTAATGGCTAAGCACGGATATACAGTAGCGCAAAATACTTATTAAAAGAGACTTATGGCTGGACATGCACAGCATCGGTTGATAGCCAGCTGTGGCGATTCTATGGGTACGCAATGAGGCACGCAATGGTTTATTCTAAACAAGAACCTACTCTAACTAGCATCAGCATTGTGTACGGTGTCACACTGTCCGGCTGATGGTCTTCCAACACCAGGCTTAAAGTTGCCTCTTTACATACAAACCATCATTGCTATAGTATGAAAAGTGGCATATCTAGGAGTCGATGGAGGCAGGCACGAAGGTGAAGTTGGGGAGCTCAATAATTAGGTGTGAGACGAAAGCTCTTAAAATAAGGTGATTTGAGGTGATTTTTAACTACTTGAGCATGCTTTTTTATGGGGGGGGGTGGTTGACTAGTGGGCAAGAGTATTTTTTGGAGGGGGCGTTAGCCCCAGTGCATCTCTAGATATGCCACTAAGGTATAAGATATAACACAATTTAATATCTTTTATATATGAGGCTTGCCATTCCAAAACCAGTGTACCGACGCTAATTGTTAAACTGAGTACTTAGCATAAAGAATGTATTGTATGCAATAGTAAGGCAATTCCAGTAAATGGTGTATCTTTTAAAGCTCACAAAGTGCAGAATAAGAATATATTAAGTCAATTTTCATTTTTGTGGTTACTGATACTGGTTTGGGATGACAAGCATCTTATAGGTAATAACTATATATATATACACCAACTTGACTTACATTCTGAGGAGTACCTGTCCCCTTCTCCAGCCCTACATCCTCTGAATCACCAGCCCCTTCCTCCTCTACCTCCTCCTTAACATCTTCAATTGTCTCGACAGCTTCATCGACTGGAATTAACTCCGGTTCTTTAATGTTTTGTGACGGCGTCGATGGTGCCGACTGATTATTCTTGTAGTACAATACTGCTTCATAATTCATAAATGCCCATGAATGCCAAGCCTATGATATAATAATGATTAGGATATAAATCCAACTGAACAGAAATTTTTTGTCATACATTCAGAGCAGGGCAAGAAGTATGTGCATGTTTTACAAACACATGTTTGAAGTTTATGCAGTTCTTTTGTGGTACCTAAACAAGCCTTTTTATACTTTGTTTCGCGAACCCTCCGCCCGCCAATCATGATTTGGAATGAAAATAAAATTTTATTTTTTGCCAATTAGTGTACCTGCCGCCACAAAAAATGGAAATTTCAGAAAAATATAAAAGTTCTACTTTATTTTTATTATGCCCATCTAAAACAAGATATGTATATTTCTTCCTCATTATATAAATTTAAAGCATTTTACCATCCCATTACTACACTGTTTACATTCAACAATAAAATTTTATTTTTATTTTCTCCTCCGTCTCGAAGTTTTTGGCTAATCCATTTGCTAAATAAGAAGACTAAAGGTTATTTTTATTTTTATTCCGCCCTCCTCAAAAAATTAAGTTCACGAAACAAGGTGGGAAGGTATCCTATTTTTATGTATTGATTACAAAGTTATCATTAAGACTCAGGCTCAAATCCTCAACCTGTTAATCAGATGATCAAATAATGAACGGTTCCAGAGTGTCAATCAAACTCAAGTGACCAATCAGAACATGGCCATGAATTTGCATTTGTTCCATAAACACACATTTTGCCCCACAAAAACGCATGTTTGCTTATGTTCAAAAATACCTATGGGCAGAGCTTAGCAGAAAGGTCCATTCTATAACAGGCTACATGCTCAAATGAGGCTACAAAAATTGAAGCATCACTGATTATTTTACCTTGTACCAGTTGGCATCATGGTCGGTAGCAGCAGAGTAGTAGCTGATGATTTGTGGAATGGTATTGTCTCGTATTCCTTCCAGGCTTTGCTGCCATTCACCTAGCTTCAAATAACATCTGTAGGAGCAAGACTGAATCAATGTAGATAAAGTGTCTTGACAAAGAACACAATGACTATTACCACTTAGTGCTTGACTAAGTGGTAATGTTCCTCTTGCACTGGAGACCTTGGTTCAAGCACTGCCTAAAGCCCTTGCTTTGATACCAAAATTTCAATTTGAGATTAATATCGCTAGCTCTTTAAATAATCCTTACATATGTGCGTGTTAATTAACAATGTTTGTATCCACTACATACATGTCTTTTGATGCGGACCACTGTCGGTGCCATGCTCAAAACATCCAACAAGCAAGAGTATATTTTTCATTATTCATTTATTATTTATCATTACTATTATTATTATTATTATCATAATATTTACCTTGCAAGCAATTTCTGAAATTCCCTGCGTTCCAAAGAGTCTTCTGCAGGAGTGAGCGTGGCAGCGTACTGCTGGACAGCAGATTGGACAAAATGATGCAGCTCATTAAATGCATCAACCTAAAAACAATGAGAAAATATAAACAAACAAAAAACAGAGACAATCAGACATTGTTAGTTTAGCTAATTTATTTTCATTACTTTCTGTTTGTTGTAAGTTTATACCAAAAGATCAGCTTTGCAAAATGGACAGCCCTTTATGGACAGCAGGTCACACTTTAAACTTTAAGGGTTAGCATTCAGTTCTCTGTGCTGTTTATTTGCTTATGTCCTTGGGTAAGGCACTTCCTACACATGTCTCTCTCCATCTGAAAATATTAATGGGGTGCCTGGTAGAATACGAATGGCTTGGTGCCAATTTGGTGCTACTACAGTATCTGAAAAACTAAGGACGCTCCCTAGGTAGCGGGGAAGATTGCAGATCGTTCATGTCATGCAAAATGTATCCCATGACTGGGGGTAACAATGCACTATCAGCACCTATTATTGACAGATACTCAAACTATACAAGACTCAACTACTTTCACTATTATTATTAATCTATGATAACTTACCCTATCACCGTCTTTCCACATATGTTTCATATATGCAAATGTTACATGTGGATCAGTAGTTGGCAACGGCATGTCAGGCTGTAAGGACGGATCCACATCCATCAGCTTCACCAATGTCTTGTGGGATAGCGCCATCCGACCTCCTTTACGACACAAACTGGCATACTTTAACCGTGTTCTGCGATCATCAGTTGGACTTATCACAAGTGATCTCACCTGGATCATCTTCTGCCAATCTTCTACATTTCTCTGGCAACCCTGGAAGTTTAAAGGCCAATAATTTTATAAAACAGACATCATTAATAATAGGGAACTTTTGATTGGACGACGACGGTAGAACGTAATGACGTCAGTAAAAGTCATCTGCGCATGCGAGAACATTAAGGTCATCTCGTCGAGTAGATTCTGGAATGCAATTTGGCTAAATCTATGTATGCAGAGAACGTAGGACACCATGTAGGACGGTCACACATGAGTGATTTTGTTCTAGCATCACGTCATCGCTCCCTAATGTTATGTCAATAATTGACCCTAAGGTCAATTATTATTAATATAGATTTTTTTTTTTTAATGGAGTTGCACATGATGTATAATTAGGACAAAGTTGAAAACAGTGACGCTCGATATAAAAAAAAAATGACAGGGTTGTTTTAGTTTTTCTGCTGTAAAGCAAAGCCTTGATGTTTAATAATGTTGGTTGAAATTCAGAAGAAGTATCATGTTTTATGGTTTTACTCTAAATATACTGGCCAAATATTTAGATTTTTCAAGACGATTCATGCCTTGGTCTCCATTCACTGAGGCCAGATTAGGTACGAGGAAAGTATTTGAACTGTGTAATGTAAGTAGGACACACTACAATTTGTAGGCTAGAATGAGTTGTACAAGAACATTATTATTAACATCACGTGACCACTACAGGATTGCTTTTTGTGTTTATTATTTAGGTACAGAATATCAATGGTTTGGACAATTGTTTTAAAAAGGCAAATCATGAATATGTAAAGATAAATTACATATTAAACAGACTTCCCTTAAAGTTAATTACTACATATAAAACGCCAATCAATATCAATGCTTATTAACAATGAATATCTACGCAGGTGTAAATGCATCTGTTTCCATCATCATGAATGCTTGTTGCCTTACATCACTTAACAAGATTTTGTGACTGGTACACCAGAATTGAAATAAAATTTCCATCAAAAATGTACATAAATTACTTTAAAAGACAGCTTACCATAGCATATAATTTTAATGTTTATATATTTTTGTTTACAAAACATAATGTCCATATTAAGGACCAAACCCAAGACTCCTCAAATCACCATTTGGTTACTCGACCAAACTAAGCCAATTTGGTGAAACCGGTATACTAGCTGGATTTTCTCATAATGGTGAAAATGAAAACACAACATGCAATAAACATAACTGATACATGGACATTGAATTTCTAGGAGAAATTAAACTTAATGCGATACATCTGTTAAATAATGTTGCACATTACAATAGAGCCATTGTTGATTGAATGGGTTGCACTCTGGTTTAGTTGCAAGTTCATTGACTTCATGACATCCTGGACATAGAACCATAAAAAAAATAGGTCATGAGGAAAAGTGTATTGACTACAGCAGCAAAGACACATCTACTGCTGGGTCTAATGACACATCAATAGACACTGAGGCAACTTATCCATTTAATTGGTATTCAAGATCCATTACTAGATCTAGCAACAATTTTCAGATTTCTTTTAAAATAAATAATGATATAATATATTAAAACCTCAGATTTCAACCTTTTTCTGGGGTCAATTTAAAAATCACTAACAATGCTTCAGTCCCACAATTAAAAAAAAAATATATCTGATATCTTCAGGTCCATGGACCAGGGCTTGAAGAACAAGGCAGTAATAATATAAAATTATAGCAGTATATTTATTAATAAAATAGTGCAAAAGTTGCACTTCTATAGCAATATAAGTTTGGGATAGAAATTCATGTTGTCCCTGTCCTTGGGCAAGGCAATATATCACCACCTTTTCCTTTGGGAAGGCACTTGTCTATCTTCACCAAGGAGTATAAATTGTACCTGGGAATGACTAGTTGCAAATCATTATGGAATATTCCCTTAGGAAGCTGAACATCTGTTTGATAGGCATCTCCAATGACTTTAGTGATAATATAAAGTGCATGCATACAGGCCTTGGCAATAGCAAATATATAATAAATACAGTTAACATATTTTAATAAAAGGGTACTATATAAAAAATAGCTAATAGATCATGTTTAGTAACATGATTCTAAATTCATATTTTAATATCAAAATAACTCCTTATCTTAGGAAAACAAACATCGTTGGTTATTTGTGTAGGCCTAAATATTTTTCAGTGCTGTCAACTTAATCTAACTGATAATTTTCAATCTAATTTATCTTTACTCCCACTGGCATATCTGGACATGTAAAATCAAATTTCTACACCCCCTCTCACACCCCCACACACACATATATGACTGGTCATTACTATCCAATCGCACTATCAAATGGTGGGAACATAATGATAAATAAACAGATGCAAGGGAGTTACCAATTACTACATTTAAAAAACAGTTAATGTATACATCTCATTATGCATAAATGTGGTTTACCCTCATTGCAGATCCGTGGCATTCTGTGTATGCCATCAGGAATATTATTTATGGCAGGGGTCACAAGTTTCCCAGGATTTGCTGGAGTCTCCTTGAAAATAATTACAGTCTCCTACAGTCCCACGAACAAGCAAAAATTTCCCGGAAACTAACATTAAGAACGGTTTGAACATTTCTAATTAATGTATTAATGTCTCCCTTAATTTAGTTGGCCATGGATATCATCTTGTGTAGTAACATACAATGTGTTAAGGAAGCTCATTAAACAATGAAGGCCTCTAGGAAGTAGCTTTGCCCAACTTGGGACCCTGATGAGTGAAATGCATACAGTATTGAGATTACGCTGTTTTCACAAATGATCCTTAAGCTCTTCAATTCGATGGAACTGTGATTATTATATATGTTGTATGTTTATTTCCTTATATTTCATATTTATTTTTGTAATTGTTTATTTAATTACTTATTTATTTTCCTATTAATTTATTTTATTTATTTTTTTTTATTTATTTATTTTATTTTATTTTTATTTTTTACTTTTTTAAATATATATTCATTTATTTATTTACCTTTCTTTCCCTTTTGACTGCAACATATGAGTGTTTATTTACTTATATTTCATATTTATTTATTTATTTTTATATTTAATTACTTATTTATTTTCCTATTAATTTATTTTCTTTAAATTATTTTTTTTATTTATTTATTTATTTTATTTTATTTATTTATTATTCATTTATTTTTATTTTTTTACTTTTTAAAATATATATTCATTTATTTATTTACCTTTCTTTCCCTTTTGACCGCTACATATGAGTACTGTACAACACGTTGTGCGAGTATACTAAACCGAGGTTATGCACAGTAAGGGAAGATGATGATGATGATGATATATAGAAGCATGTGGAAGAAGGAGCTTTGTACTTCAAATTACAAGATCATGGGTTCAAATATACACACCACATTATTCATCAAAGCATCAGAAAAATAGTTATGAAATAGACATGTTAAATTGCCCTTACCTGGAGTCGATCCCACCAGATCTGTTTAATGACCTCTTGGCGTTCAGGTACCAGTTTATACTGGATAATTTCTTCTAGTTCCGATAGCATCTGAACATTGACCATTGCACCATATGCTCGGTTGTAGCTCTCACCAGCACGCGCTGTCAGTTCTGTGTCTAGAATATCCCGAGCTTTGTTGATACACTAAAAATAATATAAATCAATATATGACATAAGAATAAATATGGGAAGAAACTCAAAATTCAAAACTGTAATATTGTATAATCCTCAGGTTGCTTTGTTTCCTGGAACACAACCCAAACTACCTTTGCTTTATATACTTTACTGAAATATACTGGAGAGTTCATTTCTAATGTCCCTATAAAAACATCCAAATTATAAACATGAAAAAAATGAAAAAAAAAAAAAAACAATAACAAAATATAAGGAAAGAAGTAGTATTATTGTAAATGCTCTTGTACACGAAATATATAAAATAATTGTCCTTGGGATGATGAAACATAACAGGTTATGTCGGATAGGAACTGTTCAGTTTAAATCACTGGCAGTGATCGACCCTTTAGTAACAGCCCATGGGAATATGAATTACTGTACGATAATTTGACTAAACTCATGCCAATAATTTTAAATGCAACAAGATATAACCTTCAAATAATGTTGGTAATTATTTGATTTAGGCTTGTGCAGAAAATCCTTGTACACTTTAGAGAGGAAATGGTAAAGGTTAGTATAGTAAATTGTTTTTGTTTTATTTTCTAGCATTCAACAGCATGTAACTCACCAATTACAGAAAGGAATGATGCTTTTTCAACTAAGTTTCTTTATGAGGCATGGGGAGTAGAGTTATTTTTTCATTTGAGAAAAAAATCGTGGAGCGGATTGCTATAAAATGGTCTTTTCTGGTAGTCTTAACTCCACAGTCTTCGCTTAGACCGCGATAACTATTTAAATGCTAACCATTCCCTGGTAACATAAAATTGAGGGCTGTTACACATACACATCAGGCTTACTCAATTCATGTATACACATGTACATGTATCAAAATGACCATAAATAAACGAAGATCGGTTTTTACAGACGCTAAGAAATTTGTGGAATATTTGCCATTTCGAACCTTAGTATCTGACGATCTGGAGCTAGGTCTAGTACCTGTAACTCTCCTCCAAGTAGGTTTTAAAACTTCAGACGGCTAACTTGTTACACTGTGGTATAGCAATGGTCTATGATCATAGACCAGTAGTAACATCACTATTACAGCCCGCTAAGCGTTAAGATTGCTTATAGCAATCTGCCCCAGATGTCACAGGATTTGAACCAAGGACCCTAGGATTGGATAACCATCTTAACAACCAAGTTACAGCTCTACTCCTAAGCCAAGCACGCACTGAGCCTAACGTCGGCCGAAGCGATTCTATGAAGAACGCAACGCGACGACGCGCGCAATTGATCGTTTTTCATGACAATTCGTTCAGACTGCCACCAACAATAAGCAGACGGCTTTGTGCCGTCTAGCGCTCAACAGGGAGCCGAGTTGGATTCGTCGTGTGACGATCGTACAACGCATTGAGTACCCGACTTTACAGATATTGTTGTCACATGACAATGACATACCTTGATTGGGATAAGGTCTCATTTTAAAAAATGACAATATAATTCATTTCAAATAAAGAGTACTTCTTACAATTTACATACTGTAAATTGATATTAAAAATTTATCTTTGACTAAACAAGTAATTGGTTGAAAACGAACAGTTTCCTGTATTATTACAGTTTCTCATTAAATTTAATGAATAATTAAGGAGGTTTGGTACCAAATGACCATAAGCAGAAGTACTAATGAATTTAATCGACTTGGGTTTACAATATATGCTTGCATACTCTCGTACTGATTAAATTTAAACCCCACTACAGGAAATTGAAAATTCTAATTGTATAGGAATTGAATGATATGTTATTATCGATACTTTAGCACCAAACCTGTTAACGTAAGAGCAGGACAAATAACCACAAATATCAGGCACAGTCAGGCACAAAGAATTAGACATTCAAATGTGGACTACCCCAAGGAAAGTCTTTTTATTGCTTTCACATCCATACTAAGTACAGTCGCCAATCAAAGATTAAAACAATGTGTACAGGTTTGGAGTAGACATACTTTTTATAGAATGCTAGCAAGATTCATGGAAGGCCAAAGAACCCAGACGTGTGTCTCCGACATTGAAGGTCCATGTACAGATTATATTAATTTGTGACGACACATAAGCTACGAAATAACTGTTAATTAGTGAAGAACTCTGAACAGGCCTTAGTAATAAGTGAGGATATGGAAGTTACAACCAATTTGGCAAATAGTAGACTTTAGTTTACTGTATACAGATGAAATATATCATAGTTTATGTTAAGTTTAATTGAATTGATAAAGAATCGAATCAAGGTCATGAAAATGGAGGTATAAAAATACTGAAACAGAAAAATAGCAAACAACAAAAATATTATTGATTTCTGAATTATAATAAAAATGGAAGTCCTTTTATTGGCAAGTTTAAATTCATGTAATCTATATAAGGCCAACAAAATGGTGTAGTGAAGAGCGATTGACCAAAGAATGAAATTCTTTGGTTACTTTTTTACATTTTTAAGATTCAATGGTACAGGTAAACTCAAAACAGGTGCTGGGGTGATGTTCTCTATTTTATTTCCTTTTAATTTTTTCCTTGGTGGTTTAGCCATACTGCTTTTTTCGGAAGGGGTCCAAAAGAATTGTATAATGTATAAATATGGCAATTTTCAATCAAGAAACGCAACCATTTCTTCTGCCCATTGGTTACCATTTTCAGAGTCAAAATGCATAGGATGACTAATAATTAGTTATGAACTCTATTCTACAATTAGCCTTTGGCATTTATTCAAAATAAAAAACCCTGACCAGCCAAATCAAATCTTAATTTTGGCCTAATCAAAAATTAATGAGATAACATCTTACTTGCTGAGCCTGTGCAAAGTGATCCTGGTGGACCGCTAGAACTGCACGATAGAAGGCACCATCGTATGTATCACGAGGTATCATACAGGCATACTCATCCATGGACTCCCATTGGTTGAGTCCCCAGGCTGCTGCTGCCGCCATGCATGCCATGCGTTGTCTGTAGTCATCACTGACCTCAGGCCATTTAGTGCAAGCGATGTCATGAAGCTGACCCCTAAGAAAGTACAGATAATAATAATCAAATGTAAGTTACTCCTCCTGATGTTGATGATAATAAAAATGATAAAGATGATGATGACAATGAAAAGGGAATGTTGATAATGATAAAGGTGCCAATGACAATGAAGATAATGGTGGTGATGTTAATGGCAGAGGTAATCATAATTGTGGTGATGATAATGATGATGCTCACAATAATAAAGAATGATGATAAGGAGGATGATGATAATAATGATAATGAAGAAGAGGATGATGATAGTGGCAAATGTTATTAAAATGATGAAATCAAATAAGATGTTGACAATGATAATGATTATGATAAGAAAGATAATGCTCTTCAAACTCTACACTGACCATTCTCCTAAAGCTTCAAGGCATCTCATTCTTGCTAGCATCAGTTCCATGTCATCAAGGTTCTGCTCCTGCTTTTTCTCACACTCAGCCAACGCATTCTCCCACTGATGCAGTTTCTCGTACCAAGTCTCTTGCCGTTGCTAAAAAAAACCATAAGCTTCAATCAGCAAATACAGTAAAACGCCTATTTTATGAACGTTGATTTTACGAATAGTCTATTTTATGAATGGTTTTTGCCCCTTGATTATTATCTTAAAACCAATTTTTACAATGTTTTACAAAACGATAAGTTATATTTTTAAGTTTGTTGCATTTATTTATTAATAGTTTGATCTTTTCTTCCACTTCTGGCATAATAATCTCTATATTAATGTAATAAACCTAACCAGAACAAATATGAACTACCAACGCAAGTGTCGTCGGTTTGAGCGCACATGTTTACGATGATGAACGAGAGAGTTAGTCAGCAATTTATTAACATCGTGAATGCTAGATATGATTGCGAAATGCATGTAAACAACACAATTCGGCGATCTAACAACTAGAAAGAACACGATGGAAAAGTAAATAAAACATACAGATATTTGAATAAGAGTTAAAATAATATTTTGTTAAGTGGTAGAATGATAGCGATTAAAATAATTTCGTTTTTATCAAAGGTAAGTTTAGCTTGGCTCTAGCACGGTATACTACACTGCTGCACTGTCGGTTCGTGCTAGGCCTGGCCGCTTTCAGCCTATCGGTGCTCAATGGCAGGGGATAGCTAGACCTAGGTATTGGAAACTGACACCTGATCTAGTTTACAAACTTTTCAATTTGTGAACACCCATTGGTACCAAGTGTGGTATGTAAAACAGATGTCTTACTATATATTCAATAGGTTGGACAAAATAATTTTCTAACAATACAACAACCCTAACAAGTTCTCAAGGATATCCTTAAAACTCATCTTTTTAAATTACATGTTTTATTTCCCAACATGTAAAAAATTTTTTGAAAAACAGCTTAAAAAAATGTGCATCCAAAAAATCGTACATCCGAAAAACCCAGCTCCCATTTTCCTTCATCATAATGTACCAATAGTAATACTATCATGTGTGTTGATAGTTCTACTCACCATTTCAGATCCCAGTGTTTTGGAAGCATACTGTAGGACACCCTGGGCTGCCTCTGGCTGGTGGAGCTTGTTGTAGATGCTATCAAATTCAAATATAATGCACTTGTATTTTAAAAGAACATTAAAAAAATATTGACTATATATTAATATAACTACATTCATTTTTCATTTAATAATTGTTACTATAACAGTAACAATCATAATAATAATTAATAGCTATAGCAACAACAACAGCAATTAATTCAAAAGTAAATATTTAGTATGTTCAAACAGCTGAAAATTAAGAAGACCTTATGAGTGACTCTAATATAGCTGGCTTAGCCTCCTTGTGGAATTCCTCTTCTTTGTAGTGCAGTGCTTTGGCATAGGCTCGACACTTTGATGCCCTTTCTCCAAGTAGGGTTGTATCAAGAGGCAGGGGGCCCTAAAATAGGGAGAAATAAGCGGCATAATTTTCTTATCTAGGATAATACTTTTTTTAAATATCCATTTTCATTAACTCAACAGTTATTAAGTGATAGATGTATGTAATAAACTATTTATAATTCAATAATTAATAATTAAATGTTTAAATTTAATATTTTGTATAATATTAATATTAGATTTTAATTGAAAATTAAAAATAACAAATATTTTCCTTGTAAAACAGATAATATAATACTCATTTTTTTATACCCTCTTAGTAATAAATTTCAGGATAATTATGGTACCTTATCACAATGCTCCATAAACTCTGCTAAGTTTAGGAGTGTTTGTGTAATCTCCGGAATGTCTTGAGAGGTCAACGCCTTTTCCAGGTTGTGGATCAATACGTCTTGGTCCTGCTCCGTCAGCTCTGACCAACAAGACACAAACGCAGCGTTAAACAGATCCCTAAAAAAATCAAATCAAATTTTAAATAAATGAATATGGAATGAAAGAATTATTTGTGAGGAGCGGGATATCTAGCTTATGTGTGACCCTAAAGCCTGACACTCACATGACAACGCGCGTGTAACAGATTATTTGCGGGGAGTGGAGTTGGATTCGTTGTGCAACAGTCGTACGTAGTATGTAAGCCTTAAACCTGGTTTCCATGAAGTCGCTACATTATATCGCTTTACGCCTGTGCCACAATCTTGCACATATTGTACAATACATGCTGATTAAAATTCACTGACCTGGCTAATGGATTGTATTGCTGGGCTAAATCATGGCAAGACCTCAACGCGTGAGATGGCGATTCCTTTAGCAATTCCACACTAAGACGTCGCAGCCATTCCATCCAATCATCTCTAGACACACGACGCGTTGCTGTAAATGCCTAAAAGCAGAAATGCAAAATATATAAATTTTTAAACATGCACTTAAGATAAGATAAGATACACTTTATTGCTCCAAGTCGGAAATTCAGTTCTCGCATTAAAATGCAGTAAAACAATTAAAAGAATGATCAAATATAATGAACTATAAAAATTAAAATGTAAAAAAGATATTAAACAACGACAATTAAAGCATTATAAGTCACCAAAGCATTATTATTATTATCAATATTATTATTAATATAATAATAAAAATTACTTGGAGTAATTCCCCACCCCCCAAAAAAAAAAAAAAAAAAAAAAATTCAAAAATTATGTGACCATAAATATAGTTAGGATGAAACTGTATACTGAGCGAGCGATAAAATGTGTGTCTTCTTCTATTATAATATTCTGTATATTATATAAGTTCAGTAAGAAGCACTATTCTTACATTTATATGATATTAGATCATCAAAAAATAACCTTATACTAAATATATTTCTCCAATAAATATAGGTCTAGGCCCTTCACAGCCAGATTAGGCACTGCAGTCTTTAATTATAGTCTGGTTCAAAGCCAATGAAGGAATTTGTGAATACCAAGGCCTTAATCCATCTAAAAAATAACTCTCAGTATTATTTATTAAGGGGGATTAATTTACTTCCCAGAAACATTTTTTTTCTATAATTTGCTTACTTTGGTTAAGCTGCTTGAGCTGACTGGTAGTTTTTTTATTGTTACCGGCTCCATGCCACGGTTTGATTGATTCTTGTATCGTTTTCCTTTTTGCTCCTGGGCTCGAAGTACCGCTAAATCTTCTACCTCTGATATAGTTGACCCCTATAGATGTAAATGAAGCCGAATAATGTAAAATTAATAATAATAATTAGTTGACAAACATATGGATTATTAATGAAATATGTGAATGCTGGAATTAAGGGGTTATACTGTCAAATGTCAACCCTGGAAATGTCAACAAATGAAATAGATTACACTGAAATATGCTACCTGGAAGATAAAGATTCATATATCTAATGTGATTTAAAACAACCTTTATCATCTTACCTGGATGATCTTGCTGATGTAGATATCGTAAGTCTGGTGTGTGATCTTGTGCTTTGTAAGGACCTTATTGACCATCGGGATGAAGATCTGGAACTTCTTCCCAAGTTGTAGCACAAGAGAAGAGAGGGCTTCCATAGCTGGTTCTTGCAGCTGGGGAGTTGAGTCCAAAGTTCGCACAAGTGGGTGTATTATACGCGAGGCAAAGTCAGTGAAGTCTAAGGTATCGCTCAGTAGATCAATAGACTCCAAAGCAGCACTGGAAATATAAAGAAGTTATACACTTTAATTTCTGTGTTTTTTTTTTGTTGAAGTTCTGTTCGTATTTCTGTTAATAGTACTTACCCTTCACTTTTGAGAAAACCTTGGGATCTGAAATATTGGGGTGGTCTCGGGATTTGGTCTCCAATTAAAGTGTTAGCTTAGTGTTAAAATATTGAACATTTTTATCAGGTCCTTTGAAAAAGCAGTCTCAAAATTAGATGGGTCTCAGAATTTGAGGGGGTCTCACACTGGATGGTGCAGTGTAGTAGATATCCAAGACTGAATTATATTTATTCATTCATAATGTACATTTATGTTTCACATTTCCTTTTGATTGACAAGAGCAAAGATAAAAAAGAGTAAATGGCTTACAGTACCTTCTAACATCCATGGGTACTTCATGTGAATCAAACAACTTAACCACAGGTGGGAGCAACAGGTGAAGATAATCATCCAAATTAGCACCAAATTTCTGCATTGCACCAAGAAGCTAAGGAGTCAAACAAAAAAGATAATGTTAAGGACATATAGGAGGTAATGACAACGAGAGTTATATGTGCATCGAAAAACTTGACAGTTCTTAATGTCTTCTGAATTTGGTTTGGATCAAATCTTAGTTATGCAGAGGGTTGGATGATTTGATAATTTTTTAAGTAACTTCCAAAATGACAACAGCCACATATGTTGATATAAGTCAGTATTCATTAAATAGGTTGTACTAACCGTTTTGGTGACTTTCCTGTCTTGACTGTTGTCGTGAGTGAACACTTTAAGCATTTGCGGCACAATCTGAGGCAGGTAAAGCTTGAATTCACCACCTAGAGCGATCACTATTTGCTCTACTAACCAGATGATTGTGTTCTGAAGAAAACTGTTTAATGTCCAAAATTCCTGCAATGCAAAAAAAAATAAAATTCTTTTTATCCTTTTCTTTTTTCATTTTATTTTTTGTCTCATATATAAAATATAGAATCTTTAAAAATAAACAATCTTTATCAAATATCTGTGAATACTGTAACTGTAATGATGACCAAATTATTGTTTTCACATGAAAAATGGCTTTTGGAACATGTAGTTGATATTATTACCAAATAGAGAAAATGCAGACAGCAAGCTAATAAACACTTTGTTTGGCTTAGGATTGATTAATATATCATAATTCACAGAACATAAAATCCATGTATTCTGGGATTTAGTTATGGTGGGCAAGCCACACAGCCTTGGAGTTTTTCACCCAGTCTAAAGCTAATTTCATGGCCCTTAAACCACCTTATTAACTCCCTGCCCATCATTAAAATCCACTCTTTAATTATTGCTGTTCAAATACCTTAATGAGGGCAAATATTTCATCCAGATAGTTCCTTATATGCTGTCTAACAATTGAGATCATCATGCCAAGCTGCTGAAGAAGAAACTGTAAAGATAAACAGATAACAGAAGTAAGACGACATCTTGAATCCCTCTATAAACTTGCCGACAGGTGAATGCAGTGACCTTGAGAAGTAGGCATTGAAAAAATCTTGGATGGATAATCTTTCTAAATTGGTATCACATTGCAGGGGTCCCAAGTTAAAAAAAGCCACTACTGGGAGAACACAATACAATTTTGTCTAGCATGGTTATATACATCACTAGCTGGCATCTGGGAGACTATTGACAGTAATATTAAAACAATGTAATATAATGAATTTAGGGGAAATGGGTTAGTTTCTGGGATATTTCTAGCAAACTAACATAAGTTGAGAAGGACTTGGGACCCCTGGTATTGCTTTAAATGTATAATGGGGCTAGGCAATACAGCAAAATTTCTACATTTTTTACATAGACCCATAAATTGGGTATTCAGTTTATGATTTTCATAGTGAAACATTTTCTTTAATTTAGTAAATAATTTTGATTATATTTTGAATTTAATTCTCACCTCTCGTATACCAGAGTCACAGGTGCGAATCACACTAAGATACGTGGGCATGATCTGCGGTAAGAACTGCACACACTTTACACCAAGCGTCTTAAACAGAAAGGTGAGTGCTTGAACAACATGTTTGTGGTAATTAGCCAATGAAGTGTCGCGCATGATTCGCATCAGTGTTACTACGGCAACTGCTGGGTAGAATTCCTCCAGTGAAGCACTGCCCATGCTCACAAGCATCTCACTTGTTGTATATTCACCTGTATATGAAATAAAAATTCATCTAAATAATTCTTATCTGTAAAAGACTGTCTTCTCAGGTAGGTTAAATTAATGCCCCATAAATAATGTACAGTCCTGATTTGCCTTATGTATTAGAAATACAGCACAAGATATCTCCCCAGGCTGGTGGTTAAAACATAACATTAATAAAAATGAACATACCGTCCTGATTTGCCTTGGTATCTGAGAGGCTTAATACTGCACCAGATGTCTCCCCGGGTTGGTTCATCTTTCCAAGGTTCATCTTGTGTTTGTAAGGATCTAAAGCGCCAAGCAGGCCAAGTGTACGAATCGTCTGTTTAAAGCATAAATTGTATCAATGTTTATCGCTTTACTTTGCATTAATACACATTAAACAAAGCATTGCACATAATCTAGTACAGGCCACCCTCCAATTAAAGACTATATTTGGACTGGGGTTTTCATGGTCTTTAGCAGTTTTGGTCTCTAATTAGAATAATAAGACATTTGTGAATTTGGGACCAAAAAGAATTGATCTTTATTTGAAGGTGGTCACTAACTAGAGAGGTTTATAATTAGATGGAGACCTCTACCCTTCATATGATGTTCAGTGTACAACACCAACAAAATTTCAAATGTTCCAACTTTTTTCCTCCCAAACTGTCAAATTATAAAACATATTCATACCTCTCTCCTGATGTTTGGTGACTGCTCAGTTTTCAAAAAGTTAAGGAGCACATCCAGCAGATTGGGATATTTCATATAAGGTTCCACAACATAGCCTGTACTCTCTACCAGATGTCCAAGAGTCCACAATGCAACCTGATAAGATTCAACATCATTTAATTGTCTTCAATTATAATATGAAATACAAGTGAAGTTGTAAGTCTATTAAATCTGTGAATTCTGTTTGTTCAGTAGTTTTTATGTTTTCTAGAGTATTTTATGGCTTACTACTTGTTGCTATGTTATTGTGTACTTGTGTTGTATTGTTATGGGAATATACAAAAACAAAACAAAAATTAATTTCAAAAATACAGCTACACTTACTTCTCTTTTGTTGAGAGATGATGAGTCTTGAAGCATATCTATTATAATTGGTAGAAGTTCACCAACCCATTTCCTCATTTCAATTCCACCAACCTAAGTAAAACATTCGTAAAATTTCTAGGTAAATTAATAACATCTATATCTGACCAAGTATTGGACAAAAATAGAGAAGGTTGAAATGCAGGTACAATGGTGACCATTCCATATACCTATCGAAGTGTACATGAATCTATGAACTATGAATATTTGTAATTATTACCAAGGTATCATAATTAATACATACCAAGGTAACATCAGTGGCAAGTACCATTTACAAGGAAATTCATCCCCATCAACATCATACTGTTAATCATCATTACTAGGGTAATACCATACTTAGATGGGTACCATCCCTATTAGTCATTAACAGAATACAATCATTACCAGGATACCTCCACCACCAGACATCAACCATTGCAAAGATCCATCATTACTAGCCTATCATTAGCAGTGTACAATCACCACTCATCATTACCAGGATACCACTACCACCAGGCATCAACCATTGCAAAGATCCATAATTACTTGCCTATCATTAGCAGTGTACCATCACCACTCATCATTACCAGGATACCACCACCCCCAGGCATCAACCATTGCAAAGATCCATAATTACTAGCCTATCATTAGCAGTGTACCATCACCACTCATCATTACCAGGATACCACCACCACCAGGCATCAACCATTGCAAAGATCCATAATTACTACCATCACTACTCATCATTACCAAGGTATACCATCACTACCAGTGGTACCATAATTACTCATCCTCACCTGAGATAGTTCACCTATTGCTGCTAGAACATTGATGACCACATTTGGGTTGGCATCTGACTCAGTCAGTTTCGGAATTAAGGCCTATGAAAGAAGATACAATGGAAGGGATAATATGTTGTATGTATTCTAATGCTTTTTTCTACTCTGCTTCTTTATTACAGCATCATAATGAAAAAAGCTTGGTTTCAATAAAAAAAAAATAAACTTCTCTTATTACTGTCATTATTACCATTTTTCTTGATGATCATAATATTTTGTAGATAAGGTGCTTTCGGTAGTCTTAAAATGTTGAGTTCAATGAACATTGGAATGGTTCACCCTCACTATGGTTGACATAAATTTGAATGATAATCTCATGTGAAACATAGTTTTATGCATTTATATCTTTGGTATTTTATCTGTAACAATAATAGTCATCAGAATGTGTTTTTACATTAAAAAAAACAAAATCTGTAATACCTTGACAATTGGCTCCATATATGGTCGTATAAGTCTGGGAGCATTTGATACTAAATGGCCTAACATCCTGGCACTTTGTTCTTTGTTACGCCCAACACCACTATGTTCAAGTTCAGTCAATATCTACAATATTATTATAAAGATAAACATATATCAAACACTTGCAAAAGTTTATAATAATCAACAGAAATGTTATTTAATAAATAATACAACAATATGTCATAGTATGATGTCATCATGACCATATTTAGGCATGTCACATGTTTTTGTCAAATATATTTTGATAGTCTGAACTGGGATTAAAGATGCTTGAACAAAACAAGAACTAAGAACCTGTATGAGAGTTTTCCGAAGAGACGGCATGACAAACGCAGGGTTCAAGTTGCTAAGCCTTCCAATCATACACATAGCAAGCTCACGAATTTCAAACAACTCATCATTCTTTGCAACAAATAGGGCGCTTAAGTTCTCTGCCTGTGCAAGGTGGCCATCAAAACGTTCATCTAGCGATGATAGAACACAATAGCGAATGTCGGAATCTGTGAAAAAGAATAAAACAAAAGGATCATAACATTTAAATGCTTTGTTATCAATCTATACATTTAAAATGTTTAACATGAGTCGTCACTCATTGCCATCGTCTACTTTAACATTCTTACTCACATTTCTCATTTACATATCACGTGCCTGTAGGCATAAAAGCTACACAGTATTGGATTCAATTCACTGATGATGGGAAACGTTTCCCGAATCATGTTTGCACATGCGACTCCAGACGATAGTGCATCGTCTGCTACGAATGTAAATCACAATGAAATACAGTGTTTTACTGTCTTCGTAATCTATTCAATATTTGCCACGACATGACATGCATGGGAATCACCGAGGTTTTCCAGGAATGCCACCCTATTGAGAACTCCCAAGATACATTTGTCTCACCTGTATCGGTAATAGCAACCATGAGAAGTTTGTTGAGGACATCTGCAACCACCTGAGTGTTTGTCGTACTCATAGCGTGCGGGGCACGTGAACCTCGGAACTAAACAAAACAATAATAGGTAAATACGTATGTTGAATACATTTTCTCCATTTTTAATAGAGTGTCTAGTTACATATAGGATAGAATAGAATCTAATGCATTATAAACAAATTTTCAATAACATGGCTAAAGGGATGGACTTATTTTTGGCTTGTAGCATTTGAATCTGATCTTACATGGATCGAAGGTTGTAGTAGCCTAGAGCATGTCCTGGCTGCTTCCATTCGGATTTCTTTATGTTCAATCGATAAGAACTGGTCAGCACAATGGCGCACAAACTGGGTCAACGAATGACCTTCAAAATCGAATGTGCCAAGAGTTTGTAGAGCTAACACCATGCTGTTGCTGTCAAAGCTTTCTGGTGGGTTTGTAGTGTCTACAAAAAAATAAATAAATAATAATTATAAATTTAGTACTGAAATTAAACATGGCTCAGACCAAATGCTAAAGCTATCATTCTTGAAATATCAAATAGAAAATTCAATACAAACGTGAGTATGTTTATTACATTACTACGCTGTCTTACTTGTTTGGAGTGTTGGTGAAGTGTATCCTTTTGGAGTGCCTGGGTGTCGTAGAGGTTTGTTCATGAGAACCAATGACAGCATTTTCAAGAGGCCATCTTGGATATCTTTTTTTAAGTGCGGTATCTGATGGGCCAGGTCGTGCAATGATGCTGTCAGCGCAGGACTGAAAACAGACATGTTGCTATTATATAATAATATACAGTATTAACCATAATTTTTGATAATTTAATATGGTAAGCAAATTTAAACAAAGAGGCTGTGCTACCAAGGTCTGCGAACATCACTATCATTGGTTTGCTTCTGTGGAGTACTAACATACAATATTCTTGGAAATTTACTAAATACAGATGTTTAATAAACCCATCAATCAATTAATCCTTCAAAAAATCAATCACCAGACATAAATCTTCAAGAGAATGCAAAAACCAAGTATCATTTCCTTTTAATACATGATATACTATATATCTAATTGATGCCTAATTGATTACAATTTATTCAGATGCAAGTAGATGTCAAGTTCATTCACCCGCTAGAGTGTGAAATTCCAGACTGTTGTTTTCAATCTGCCTTTAATGTTAACTACTCTTACTAGAACACTTCTTGCTCTGATTTCATATAATTATCCTTTTGTTTGTCTTCCTCTTCTCTCTAATCAGTTCCACCATCAGCAGATTTGCAAAATGTGGATATCTGTAACAAATAAATTTAACATACGTACCTAAGTCCAACAGCCAGCATTGGCTCGAGGAGTTCCTTGATGTCTGCGCTGATGCTGGTTCCAACTGCTTTTGCAAGCATACTGATGCAGGTGAACACAGCTGGATCTACAACCACTACTTTATGCTTCTTACTGCCAAAAAAAAAAAAAAAAACAATCAAATCAAAATGTGCCATTGAATAATGAAGTCAATAATTATTATTATATATTATACTTAATAACTTTTTATCATAATTGTAATTTTTCTTTACTTAATATTAGCATAAAAAAGAGATGTACCGTATATATTAACGTAAAAGACGAGGCTTCAAATAGCAAATTACGATTGAAAAACAGGGGGTCGTCTTATACGTACGACATACAAATTTTAGATTTATTAAATCATGTTCACTTTATCTGTCGATCATTCGTAACATGCTAATTTAATATTGCAATGAAGCTAGTAAATATCAGTATGAATGAAGGCAATTTTAAATACGGGGAAATAACATATGGATGAATGTTTATATTTAATTTATTATTTTGGAAATTTAAAAAAAAAATTTGTCTCCCTTTTATCCAGCTAAATGCAGTATCAAGACCGTAAAAAGCAGAAAAAAGTAGGGACTCCAAAGAAATAAACAGGGCGGGAGGTGCTGTCGTCTTATGTATAAATCGTCCAAAAATCCTTTCACACTCTGGGGTGGTCTTACACATGGGTCACCTTATATGCCAAGTATATACGGGTGCAAGTCATATTAACACCATAAAACACATAGACTAATAATTGATGGCTGTAACACCAGAGACCAGATCAAAGGACTGTAAACTCCCAACTTGTCAGCATGCAGAGATATGTAAAACATTCCTGCCATGGGTGATACACTGGGGAAATACTAACAACTTGTAGTGTGACACATTATATCATACTTATGGGTGTAGTCTTTGTGTGGTAAGCTACTTTTGATGACGTCTAAAATCTTGCGAATGTTTTCTTGTGATATATTGTGTTTAGCTGCAACAGCAAGTAAACCGAGAGCTTGGAATGCACTTGACCTCTCACGCTCCTACAAAAACAACAGATAATACGGAATATTTAGGCGAGTCAAGAGGACGAGTAGTATATGCAGGACCACCACTAACTACAGCCTTAACATATACGATGGTTCCAGTCGCTCCTCAGCCAGAGTTCGGTTGGTAGAACCAAGTCTTCTCGGAAGAGGACTTAAAATGGAGGTCCAGTGTACATAAAGAACCCATTGCATCTTGCGGAAGAGTAGGGGGTTACCCTGATGCTATGGTTCATTTCTGCCCCTGTCTTGTGGAATGAGGTGAACATGTAGCTACTATAAAGCGCCCTCTTTACGGCTGCTGGGTAGTCATGGACTACGCCAATACGCAATTCAGCACAATGACGCTGAAGTTACTGTATAGGTTATTTTTATACCCTTATCCCTTACCCCAATATTTATTGCTATTGCTGGATTCCTCCCCTTTTTTTTGACAGTTCATCATGTGTTATTTTTTTCCCCATTTTTTTTACATGTAGGAAACGATAAATATATTAATTTCTGAGTGTAAGAAATTATGTTGAAATTATGTATTACAAATACACCAAGCTCATTTGCATACCTTACGAAGGCAACTCAGGAAGTAGGCCATTGTATCTTCAAGATACCTATAAAAAAATAACAAAATAACAAAATATAATTTTTTTTAATCATCATTATTATACCATTACCATTATCATTATCAATATCTTTATAATTATCGTTATATTTATTATAAACTGCTTACTAATTATTTTTTTGAATATATATATATATTTTCATGTTAAAGTATATAAATTTGTTCAAAATTACTTTGATACAAATCTCTGTGGTTGAAATGCAGCTAATCTTGGAAGAACTGTTAGAAGCGTTTGCTGTATCTGAGATGTGCGGCTACTGCGGTACTTGAGAACTTGATTGCATACCTGTTATTAACAACAACATAAATCACATCATAAATCAATAAAAAAAAAACAACCACTACCAATTATATTCAACACAGGCAATTATTGGAAAGGCCCATAAATCCAAATATGATTTGATACATTATCGGCCACCCCTTGACATAGAGACTGCATACTGAATAAATTATTTTTTTTAAATTATAATAATTATGATTAAGAGAAAATGAATCCATGGTGTCCATACTAATTTAACATTTGATTTGATTTATTTGATAGCAACATAATAAAATCACAAAATCAGAAAAACTGAATACAATGAAACAAAATTAAGAAAACAAGTCATCAATGTTGATATCTGGAATAACCCTCTAAATCCCAATAAAGAATTTATTTTCAGAGGGGTCCCAATGATTATTCATTTATTGGTCAAACTCACCGAATCAAACTTCTCTTCCATTAGTTCGCGGCAGTACCTGCTCTGAACAAAGCGTGGCTTTTGAGCCGAGTTTGGATGTATCACTGACAATGGCTTCAGAGAATACTGAGGTTGGAACGTGTGTACCATACTCCCAGCTGGATGGTTTCGAGAACGTAAGCCAATTGGTCCAGCTTCCTGTAACAAATCAGAATTATCAAACTTAATAAAAACAAGAGCAACTGTTTACCGGTCTGCGCGTTCCTCTGCATTTTGTAAGTGTAGAGGTAACCCTGGGTCCAACTTAAAAAAAGTGCGATGAACGTTTTTGGAAATCACTTCTAGGTTATGTGTACAAAATGTCCTGCATGTCTGTCCAAAACTGGCGACGCTGGATGCTTTTAAAGTTTAGGTAACAAGAACGGCAGTGAGGCTCTGGGGTCAGTGCCTTGCGAGGACTCGATTATGATCTGGTACATAGCCCAAATGGCACATTGTCTTCATGTTCTTTACTATAAAGTCTTAAAGCACAGGAGTGGGTTAGATGCTGTTGACTTTTTATCTATGGGCTCTGGTACCTTCTACATCCAGTTGGCAATTTGGCTACCATGTAGTGACACTACCTCAACTATGTTAACAATCTAATAGTAAGTAAACTAGATAACACAAAGATTGAATGTTACAAAGTTTTATTATACAGATAAAGTAGCAAAATTTAGTTAAAGAAAAATTCATCTTGGTGTTTACATAATTTCAATGCAGAACAGTGGAATAAATGTTAACAGGTATTATTATTATTATTACAGCACCTTTTGTCTGTAGATACAAATGGCTACTTTTCCCTGACCATTGGGTCCACATGCTATGTTGCTGCTGGTAATTAACGCAGGAGCAGGTAACCCCACCAGGTACCCATTTATGCTCCTGGGTTAAGAGAAGCAATGCAGAAAAAGTGCCTTGCTCAACCGCTTCTACAGTGCAAGTAAGTTAAGAAATACTGTTTGCTTGCTTTATACAATGAAGGGTTACAATACTCACCCTTAGATTGATGTCTTGTAAGGACTGGTGTTGAGAGAGCTCTTCCATTTCCTGACGCATTCTCTAAAAAAATTATTTATCATTCAATAACAACAAGAAAACACTTTAATAATAATAATAAATTTATTCTTATATAGAGCAAAATGCAAGAAACCTCTAAGCGCTTTACAATGAAAGGAAAAACCGGATCAAAATAAAAGAAAAATGATTACAACAGTGAGGGAAATCAGGTTTCTTTGATGTTTCATGTATGAAATCAGGTTTCATGTATAAATATGTAACCATAATTTTCCATGAACTACTGTATATACTCATGTATAAGACGAGGCTTAAAATAGCAAATTACGATAGAAAAACAGGGGGTCGTCTCATACGCACGACATACAAATTTTAGGTTTTCTAAGTCATGTTCGTCGTTATGTGCGGATCGTCCGTAACACGCGAATTTACCACTGTAATGAAACCACTAAATGTTAGTATGAATGAAAGCAATTTTAAATATGGGGATATAAGATTTTAATGAACATTTAAAAACTCATAAAATGGTATTAACTTCTATTTGGAAGATTAGCCTTGCATATGACTCCATTTCAGCCAGCTACATGTAGTGTCAAGACAATAAAAAGCAGAAAAAGTAGGAATTCAGTTGGGGGGATCATCTTGTGCCCGACATAAAAAACCACCCAAAAATGTTCTCAAACACGGTTGTTGTCTTGTATACAAGTATATACGGTATTGGAAAATCAGGAAATCAAATCAAGCAATAGAACATTGCATTAACTGGTAAATGATGGCATCAGAACTGCTCCTATCACATGACTTGGGTAAACACAGATAGAAAATACACTTAAGTAATAATTAGGCTTTTTGGAATTAATCAGATTGCACCGTTCCTAAAATTCTAAATATTAGATATTAGTTTACAGATCCTTTCAACCATTCCTCTTTGGAAATCAGTATGTTCATATTGAAAGTGTGTTTCAGTATAAAGGAAGAAAAAATAAATCCTTGTTACAATGTTTGTGTTCGTCAATCTTGTCAAGTCTGAAGCTACAAAGGTTTAAGTTACAAGAAGTGCAAGACAGTTGAAAGTCGCAATCATGGACTTCAGGAAATGTTTCGCCAACATAATATCCTATCTAAATGATTTCTCATTTGGTTACAAATTTGTTGAATCCACCACTGAATATGAGTAAAACCCCTCTAATAAATAAGCAATATTGTACCTCTCCATCATTGCTACTATGCCTGATAAGTTCATTGATAATGAGGAGGGAGCCATGTAGTTTATCATCTCGTGTTAACCCCTTTTCCTTAGCACTCATATCCTGGAAGCCCCTTTCTGCTTCTTCATAGGTTTGCTGAAAGTAGAAAATATAAAACAATCAGTGCTAAAAAAGCATAGTTAGTACTGTATTTAAAATACATGTCATTATTAGTTAATTTAAATAGATAATTTGCGTTGGATTTGTTTGTTCACACTTTGAAGAGCTATTGTAAACCTTCATGCACCCGATTCATTGCAATATTCTTAAATCACCACTGCCTTGTCTCCACCACCCCCCTCCCTCCCCCCTACAACTATAACAGCTACTCAGCTTCTGGCATGCAAATATTTGTATGTGATAAGTGTAAGTGTGATATTGCCTACCTTATACCATTGAGGTTTCTGCATCTCTTTTATTTCTCTCTGAGCAGTAAGTTCCAGGCATGCTCGTAAAGCAGCAACAGCACCCTCACGAATGGCTGGCTAAAAGCAAAAGGAGCAAAAACAAATATTTAAAAATCAAAACGAATTCTGGAAAATCCTAAAGGAGTATATTTTAAAATTTTAATTTAATTTCTTTGCATCTCAATAGCATACAAATATATATAATACAATATTATTTATAACATAAAAAAAATCAAAATTAAAAACATCATATAAACACAACAAATTGTTTAAAAATACTAAACTGGAATTGAACCAGACACCACAAATCTGAAAAGATGTTTCACGGTTCAGTGGACACAGAGTGGCTACCACTGTTTAGCCTACTGACCTAAGCTGTTATAATTGAAAGTTGACTAGAAAACTTTAATACTGCGCTACTTAAACCTTTGCCATTAAGTCAAATTATACAAAGTTGCAAATAAAGAAACTTGTTTACAGGTTTGCAGTAGTAACTGTTATGACTGTTTCAACATCACATGAATGCTACTCGTCTTTCAACACAAAACCACTAACAAAACTCTTGCTATAAAGTTTCATTTTCATTTTAGAAGTGTAATCACTTTGTATATTTCCTTGCTCAATTAAAGAACTCCTCAAAGGGCTGTGTTGGGTTCCTTTAGGGTTCAATATGCCCCAGTAACTAGAGTAAATTGGGGATCCTGCACCTATCCATAAACATTTTATAATTTATTTTTCGTCAATTATACAGTATTTGCATACAGTTATGAGGTTCATTGGTGTATAGCCTACCTTGGGGTCTCTGACAGCATTGAATATGTTGTCAAAGAACGACTGAACTTGTTGGAAGAAAAATGTTGGCGCATTGATTGCCAGTTCCTTCAGCACTAACACCTACATTATAAAATAGAGAATATTAGTTGAGGTTATAACACCAAGTTGTCCTTAAAGTTGGATGAAGTAACTTCCATGAGGTACTTGTTTCCTTGCAGGAGGCTGTCCAGATTCCCTGTAGACTCTTGTGACTTGGCAACAATTAGGACCCAGTATAAACAGTATAAATATTGTACTGCTAGAAACAAAACTAGATTTAAAAAAAGAACACTCAGAACAAAGAGCAGCAAGCAAGTTAGTAAGTGCCACTCTTGAATAAATGCCTCCAACAATAGAGGTATTTAGTGGCATCACATGACCTAACTTGGGTGTTGGATATAAACAATCCACTGACACAGCAGTGTTTTACGGATTGCTTTCGAGGCCATCCCTTGTTTATTGCTGTAAAGAACATCATAATTCCCAGTAAACTATACCTAATTGATTGGAAATTAAACTTATGAATTTTGCCTTAATGGTTTGCTAATGCTGCAAAGGATACTGGCCGCAAACATTGCGATTTTTTTGACAAATGTTAGGCCTAGGCCCCTGCACATCTATGGCATGGTTAGGTATGCATGATTGTTTTCGACCTGCGACATGCTGGGATGTTAGGGCCAGCTAAGGTTTATGAAAGATCACTTAAATTTCAAAGAATACAATTCAAGGAGAACACTAGGATAAGTAATTAAACATTATTTTGAACAATCGCATTGCCTTTCCTAGCCATTCACTTCTCACGTTAACAGTGGGTGGTTGTTTTCGCAACCATAACATTATCTTTTCATATGCTATTGCACTGTAATGTTTTCATGTATACCCAAGTTAGGTCACATGACCGCCTGTAAACAATCATCGCTAAATCCCTCTATTTAATAAGCAATGTTGCACATATTTTGTATTTTTTCATTAAGTTGTTGAAAAAAGGACAACTAAGTTGTAACTAAAACATACTTACAGCAGCCAGCCGTCGAGCCTCATGTCTTTCCTCTGAAAGCCTCTCCAAAGCCCTACGCACTTCAAATTCCACATACTCTGGCGTGAAAGTTCCACCGGCAAGCGCAAGCCTTCCTACTGCTTTTGACGCCATCTCCATGACACCAACATCGTTACAAGGTAAAGTATAATTTCGCAAGTAGTTGGCAAAGCGACCGAGGCGAGTAGTATTGCCACCATCGATACCAATTAAGCTCACTGCAAACAAAAATTTGACATAAAAAATTGAAGTTTAAATTGCAATTTTATATTATTTTAACTGATATTTATAGATATACAGAATAAATGGGGTTTATAAATTACCACCTTTGTTGAATATTGTAAACAAAAAAGGTTTCAGATGAGTTAATAGATGAATGATATACCTATGGTAATAACTCCGCCTTTCTTTTCATTAACATCAGTACTTGACACTAGCTGTACAATATTGTGATCCAGGGTTGTCATAAAAGAGTTGTATTCCTCAGCCGACACTTCTCGCAGTTCAGTGGTCACATAATGCTGAAGGTTCTTGGCCGTCTTGCTGCGTGTCTCATCGCTGCGGCTCTTCAAACCGCTTATAAATTGCTGCATCATCTTGACTAAGTTACCTCAAGTTACTTGGTACATTCAATGTGGAAGACTGAACTTAAAACATAACCAGGAAATTGGTAGTAACAATATTCAACTATACAACAGCATAGATTGCAATCTTAAATATTGAAATTGCTAATTTTTATTGATTCCTTGTAATAATTTTAAGAAATCTAAACCATTGTACATGGTAAGTTTTACCAAAAGTTTTATTGTAATGTTTACACAGGTCTCCCTCCAATAAAAGAACCCTCAAATTAAGGAACACCTCCACTTGAAGACCACTATTCTGTGGCCCAACAAATTTCTTTTATCTTTATTATTCTAAAGAAAGACCAAAGCTGCTAAAGACCATGGAAACCCCGGTCCCAAAAGTGGTCTTTAACTGGAAGGAGATCTGTAATTACCTCCGCCAAGGAGGTTCTGTATTCACTGCTGTCTTCCTGTCTGTGTCTATCCTTTCTGTTTGTTAGCAAACATTTCGCAAAAACTAATGTATGGATCATCATAAAATTTAATGGAATGGTACATAATAATCATAGAAAAACACCTTTCAGAGGAAAAGGTCAAAAGACAAGGTCAAGGTCACAGAAATTAAATTTCTTACCCTCGAACATAAATGAAAATAATCGCCCCATATATTCTGGCAACACTAAAAAAACGTGCCTGAATATGGTGGGCGATTCCATTACATTTTGGAGGGTAGGCAGCTGTGCTTAATAAGAAAATAATGGGCCTAAATACGACTCGAGATTCTATTATTTTATAGAGTGTTTGCTGCAGTTTCACCTATCATACACGTCCTGCATATTGTTGATACTGTATTCAGGCACTGGGTGGAGGTATGCACTCTGGAGCCACTGTTCTATTTAAGCAATATATTAATGAGTAAATTTTGTTGTAGTCCTAGAAAAAAAACAATTAGTAGAAACTGTCTTTCTTCTTCTTGAGGAATGTATTTAGCAATCTTGAGCTATTAATGAGGTACCAACACCGCAATTAAAAACTTTACAGATACAGAATGGCAGAGTGTGGAATATATACAACCGAACCGATGTATTAATTAAGTTAAGCAGTAGTTACGATGATGTGCACCTGTTTCCACATCTACCTAGATCTAGGCTAGGCCTAGCAGGTGTTTCATTACGGTGTAGGAGATTAAGTAGAAAAAGGCCAAGAACCGGTCGAAGTCACTGGCTGCCGGCTACTAATGAAACCTCTGCCTAGTGATTTTTTTGCACAGTCTGATTTCTGAGTTGGTTTTTGATATACCTACTGTACACACAAAAAAATATACTTTACAGTGTGGCTCTGGGCCTATTTATGCATACTTTCTATAGGCTATTGCCTCAAAAGTCCCTCATTCAATCAATCAATTCATGTCCAGGCAGATGGGATGAGCAAAGAATAATGACGTTATAGCCTATAGGCCCTACTGTAGTAGTAAGTAGTACTGGGCCTACTAGGCTAGGCCTGCGTAGCGGCCTAGCCTAAGCCTACCTAGAGGCCTAGCTATGTACAGTGTGCTAACTATATACTAGGCCTGAGCCTAGCCTAGTCTAGATCTATTAGAGTAAGGGGCAGATCTAGCCTAGCCTACTAGGCCTAGCCTAGGCCTAGAGGCCTATATAATTATATGAGGAGGCTAGTAGTATATGCTTACTTAAGCATCGCTAACATATAGGGCCTAGAGGCTAACTAAGTCCCTAGCCTAGTCCCGGTCTAGGCCTACCAGCCTAAGCCTAGGAGCCTAAGGGTTTAGCCTAGGGGCCTAGGCCTAAGCCTACCTACAGCAGTGCCTAGGCCTTAGCTAGGTAGGGCCTGGCCCTACCCAGGCCTAGCCAGGCATAAAAAACGCAATCTGAGAATAAAGCTCACACACAACACGCAAGGTTTATTTCCTCAAATGAAATCAGAAAACAGAATAGAACTGGTTAAACTTGTACCTTGTATATCAATGAACATACTATCTATAATTACAAAAAGGTGTATTTTTAGCATACATTATAACTGACTTTTCCACTAATCAAGGCCTACGCCTAGCCTATCCTCCAGGCTGCACCTATTCAATCAACAAATCGCTCGCCGCTCATGTGCAGATCATTCGTGTCTGTTCTGCATGGCACAATTTCCTGTATCTCAAATACCGGGTTTGAAATAGCGCCAACATCGTGGTCGTCTAGTTCGTCTCCTCGCTCGCTCTTCTTGAGTCCAGAGGGAAGGTAATTTCCCATGAAAATTACTTTTAGCTTATTTTTAGATGTTTTATTGCTACATTTTTTAAAGCAATGGAGAACGATAAACGAAATGGGGTGTCAGACTGCACTAAGCAACCTAAAAATCATACCGAAAACAAAGACTCTAGGGCTAGGCCTACGTTCGCACTGGTCAGCTACATTCTTGCTCTACGACCGTGGTCGTTCAGCGCTTCATTCACACCGGTTGTTCTTGGCAGTGCCCTAGCCTACAAGGTAACCAACATGTGGAACCTTCACCTGGCTTTTATAGCCTGTGTGGCTGTGTTATCTGTACATGGTGCTGGGAATCTGGTAAATACTTACTGTGACTTTGTAAAGGGAATCGACAGTAAACGTAGTGACGACAGGACGCTGGTAGATGGCATATTAAAACCGAACAACGTTGCCACGTTTGGAGCTGTATTATATGCGTTGGGATGTTTGTGTCTTGCTGTTCTTGTCTTCATCTCGCCAGCTAAATTGGAACAGATTGCTCTTGTGTTTTTTTGTGGACTCTCAGGATCGTTTTTATACACAGGTGGCATTGGATTTAAATACTTTGCTTTAGGAGACGTAGTGATTTTGATATCATTCGGTCCGCTTGCTGTCATTTTTACTTATCTTGTTCAAGTCGGCCATTTTTCACTTGCTCCTCTTTTATATGCTATACCATTAGCAATGAACACAGAGGCGATTCTGCATAGTAACAACACAAGAGATATGCCTCTAGACAAGAAAGCTAAAGTTGTAACAATTGCCATACTTCTTGGAAAAACTGGTTCCTATGTTTTATACAGTCTTCTTTTATTTGTTCCATACTCTGTCTCTTATACACATCTAATATGATGCCACCATTGCTTTCAAATGCTATAAATGGTTGTCATTTTTGGGGGGGTTTTTTATGTTTTTTTAATAATAATAGTTGGATTTGTAGAGCGCATCATGCAAAAAAGCCTGTATGCGCTTGGTGATTGAGCTCTTTGAGTTTGACATTTTGAAAAAAGTTTAAGTTAAAACAAATCTACAAAGTTGTTATTCCTCCTGTCTCTCTGTACATACTACAGTAGCAGGCCAAAACATTCTGGGTTATTTATTGATTATAAGAAGGTAGAAGTTATTAGGCCCTATTATTGCTACTGTGAGTGGTGTTAATTTGGTAATGGATACCAAGATGATAATCTCCAATACTGGTAGTGTGATGTTTACAAGACCTTTCCATGAAATACGTTGTTACATCTTACAAAGGGGGAACCAGTCAATTCGAGCGGATGCCAGTTCGAACAACAGCCTGTGCGAGTTATATACGAATTAAATAAAAAATTTCCTATTTTGAGCTAACAATTTGCATTCGGCAGCTCTACTGTAGGCTCAAGATTTGATTGGGAGCCAGGGGAAAAGGCCTACAGTACAAATACAATTACAACATTATCCAATTACAAATGTATTTGGCTTTTTTAAATACAAAAGAGACAAAAACAAATACTGTAAAATGAAATGTGCGCAATTCAATAGTTTTAAAATATAGGCCTAAGTGCTTGTTAGTAGCCATCTGGTAGTTGGATTGAGAACAAGAACATGGAATAAAGAACATGGAATAATTATCAAAATTACACCAAAAATATTTCATAACTTTACATAGTGCACAGAGCATTTTTGCATTTCAAACAAACAAAAGTTCTATTTCACTCACAAATACAAGGAGAGGGCAACGATAAATTTGCTTGAATTGACTGGTATTCTACAGAGAGTATAATTTTTTATTTTATTGATAACAATTTTATAAAATAGTGTACTCTACAGTAATTCATATCCAATGTTTGTTTATTATATAATGTATGTACTGTAGATCTCAGATCTAATGTAGTTTCAATAGAAGATGTTAGAGACTACAGTGAGTCATACAGTTAGTAATGCTGCAAATAAATGCTTGAATCTGAAAACCACAGTGAGTACAGTAGTTTGTGTTTTGCTTTATTATATAACATGTCATAACAAATGGTGAAGGACCTGCTCTCTTCCATCGGTGTTATCACTGTACCGTATACATGTTGTACCCAACTTCACGTCACTGATACTAATCCAGGCACTTTTCATTGTCAATCTAGTGATACTATTTGTTGAAGCAGGGTTTGCGATAATGTTAAATTTGCATGATCTGTCAAAAATATTAAGAGTCAAACACAAACGAACAACACAAAATTAATGTAACAATAATTACCCTTTAATTACAATTCACTGCACTCGGTTTTCTCTGAAATTCATTATTTATCAAGAACAATTTTTTTAAATGACACACATGTGGCAAGGCTAAAAAAGTGAAACTTCATTCATACCTTGTTTAGCGAACAAGTTTTTATTTTGGCAAAATCCTTAGATCTTTGCATGGTATTTTATTACATTGTTGTATAAAGACACACTATTGCAATGTAACCTCAAAACTGATAAATATTTTTAACCTGAATGGAAGAAATCAATATCTCTTGCGAGTGTTTTATTCGTGATACAAAAATTATTTTTTGTATAATGTATATATAGATGCCAATAAACAAGTTTTCTATTTGAAATCATCGTGGTCAGTGGGATCGCCAAACAAGATACAAGTCTTGTCTAAGTATTGTGATCTAGATATAATATTTTTATAAGATAAAATAAAGCCATTAATGAGGTTCATTATGCTGTTGATGCTAATTCTCCTTTGTTGTATGAGGCTAAAAGCTTCTTAATTTCACCAATTGCACGGCCTGGATTCAAACCCTGCAACAAAAAAATAAAAGACACTTTATATTCATTCACTAATGCTTTACGCGTCAACCATCTTTTCTATAAGATGGTAGAGACATTCCTGTAAATTCAGAATGTTTGCATGTTTTTACTAACAGTGGTGGCAGGGGAAATTTAGCCCAGTCGTCCGACACCATCACAGGATCGTCAGACCAACATAATAATTTGCCTACCCAAATAACGTTTGCCAATCCCTACAGTAATATTGTGGTCTAAAAGCACAATTTGGCCTACTAAACCCACAAAAAAGCATTTCTTAAGAACCCTACCAGGGATTTTTACTCCCTTGTGAGACATGTCCAACCCCCCCGTCTGCAAATTTCTGGAGCCACCACTGTTTACTATGCTGTATAAAGCTTGGTTTCCATACAGACGCTACAGGCTATCGCCGACAGCTTTAGGTGATGCTGATTGGTCAAATCGGGGAGCTTTCCCGATTATGTCGGGGGCTGCTACGCAGTACAACGATTGCACTAAAAACGGTGTAGCGATTTTAGGGAAACCAGGCTCTATTTGTTTCCCTGATGAATTTAGCTGGCCGGCTAAATGTGTTACTGTAGTGGGAGAACTTGCAACCCCATCAGATGATTTTGCAGCTCATCTTTACCATTATCACAGACCCTTTATACGAATTATGAGCTGTTTTTTTTGTTGTAAGTAAATGAACTTTAAGGTTGTAAACTGACCTTCGGACAAGTCTTAGTGCAGTTCATTATAGTATGACATCTGTAGAGTGAGAACGGGTCTTCTAGCTTGGCTAACCTCTCCTGTTGGTACTCATCTCGGCTGTCAATCATCCATCTGTAGGCCTGCATCAGGACCGCTGGGCCTAGGTACTTGTCACTGTTCCACCAGTAGCTGGGGCAAGAGGTGCTACAGCAAGCACAGAGGATACACTCATACAAACCATCCTGAAAACAGTCACATTTTCAGTAGATTATCAAGGAGCACCAGTATAGTAAATCAAAAGCATTTTAAATGAGGGAAGATAGTGGGGCAGGGAAATTTGATGGAGGTTCAATGAGTGAAGGGTAACTAGCTAATAGAATTGACAGATTGAATGCTTAGTATACCCAGTGGCATCCCCTCTGACTATTAACAGTTTCCTTACCAATTTCTCTCTGTCTTCAATTGATTGGAAGTTCTGCTTTTCTCCATACTTCATATCGCTTTTCTTCTGTAGGTATGGTTCAATAGCTTTATATTGAGCATAGAAATTGCTCATGTCCTATAGAAACCGAACAAAATACACTTTTAGTATGAGGCATACTTAATACAATATTGTACATTAATAAATTGGATTGGATTTATTCGGTGTAAACACCAAAAATAACTTAATACAGTAAACAGTATATTAAAATTTGTATCCGATAATTAAAAAATCTATACTGTATATATATACACAATTTCACCATACCTTTTTTTGAAACCATACAGGATGTTTTAAAATTAAACCTATGGGTTTTATTTGAATTCAGAATTATTTAAGTGAGTTGAGATGAATACAAATGCTTTTCTGCATTCGTTCTACATTGTTGAATACATACCGGTACTAAGTCCTTTACAACATACATGTGTGGTAGTGGATACACTTTGGTAGCTTTACTCTGGTTTGGATCAATACGACTGTGAAGTGT